GAAAGTCGCTCTGCCAGGCTCCAGTCCAGACCCGCTCGTGGTCGCCCTTGAGAGCAAGCTCCAACTCAAACGGGGTGATCACCGGTTTCCAGAAATCTTTGCTGTCGACAAGGGAACTCTCCCAGCAACCAATCACCACCCAGCCACCGATTTCACTGAAGTTAGCCACCTTGGCGGCATTCAGTTTGCCTACAACAAACATGTAGCTCTTTTTTCCTGCATCTGCGATCTTTTGCTTCACATGCTCCACGATATGAAGGTAGTTCTTCACACTGAGTGTATTGATCAAGATCCCGAAAATAGGGACGGTACTGAGCCTTGTCAGAATAGCGTAGCGACGCCCCAAGGCAGCCGACGTCGACGCGGGCAGCGGCTTGACATTGTCGCCCGGCGCGTCGGTGGTAGGATAGATGTGGATCGCAGCCACGCGGGATGCGAGCGTCAGGAGGAGCGCAGTTGGCGGGTCGGAGATGTGGAAGAGCTGCCATTCCGATAGCGATTCGGGCTTTTCACGCACGGAGTCCGGCACCGTCCGATTGGGAATGGCAGATGATGGACAGTGGATTAACTCCGTAGCGTAGAGGTTGGTGTATCCTTCCTCTACTAAGCGCGCATACACGGCAGGAATATGGTCGCAGTAGGTCACGTCGGCCGCGAGTACGATCTTGCTGGCCTGATCCGGGTAGGTCGCTTTGAACGCCTGGATGACCGGCTCAATAGGTAACTCCTTGTGAGTGAAGACATAGATAACAGGTAGTCTGGCCGTAGGCGACAAGCACGAGCGCCCATAATGCACGACAACGTCCGCATTCACATGTTCTGCCGCGACCTCGTCGACACAACAGGTCCCGTAAGATGTATCCGCCAATATGTACAATCTGGGCTCCAGCTCTGGCTTATCGTCGACACTAAGTTGAGAGACGTCTTGAGCTAGATTCTCCGATTCCGCACCGTCCGTTCCGCTACCCTTGTTTTCGGCGGTGGTCTTGTCGACGTCGCGGCGCGCAAGACCTCGGCTGAGAAGCTGGAAAACACGAGGAGCATCCGGAAGCATATCATCTGGGAACTGCAGGGCGATGCGCTTGTACCGTGCCTGGCGGATCTCCTGCAATGTGCGCTCGATATCGTAGGTGATGGAGAGCTCTTCGTCCGACAGGGTGCGAGTCGCATTCTGGCGGGCGACAGGTTCGGTGGCCTCGAGTATGAGAGAATCTGGCGTTGAGAGGACAGGGGCCGCCTGCATTTCGGTTGCCATTTTGATAAGAGGCCTCAGGCAAGGGTAGGTGAAGGAATTCGTTCTTGAAGGTGGGATGTTGTTGATGGCGGAAATTTTATTTTTTGGAGAGGGCGAGAGAAATCCCCCACTTCACCCCGCCATCCATCCAATGGGGCTGATGCCATTTGGAGGGCTTCACCGTACGATAATCGTCCAAAAAAGCGATTAGATCATTTTCGCATTAGGGACATTTCTTAACATTTGCAACTGGATTTTTACATAATATAGCAGGATATATGACTGCTACCTAAAGATCTGCTCTCGCCGGCTCGCCAGCCCATACCCTCCGGATCAACTCTCGGATAGGAGTACGCTCAATGTCTCGAGGATTCCAATAAGGATTGTTTACAGCGATGTCTGCAGCCTTGTCAATATCCTCCTCCTTCATGCCAAACTCCTTGAGGCCCCGCTTGACCTTGAGCTTGTCCAGCAAGACATTGAGGCCGTGAATAGCATCGCCATTGCTGTCCGGAAGCGCCTCTGCGAGCTTTTTCATAGCCTCAGGGATCTTGGGAGCGTTGTAGGAGATGGCGTGTGGCAGGACCGCCGTGTGCGTCTCTGCGTGAGGTAGGTTGAAGCTGCCGCCGAGCGTGTGGCAGAGTTTGTGGTGGATGGACATGCCCACGCTACCTAGGCAAGTACCACAGAGCCAGGCACCGTACAGAGCCAGCGAGCGAGCAGTTTTCGAGCTGGGATTCTCAACGATCTCTGGAAGGGCAGATGCCAGGGCCCGGGTACCTTCGATAGCCATCAGGTTGATGACGGGGTTTGTGTTGCGGGCATACAGCGCCTCAACTATCATGACGATTAGCCTTTGAACGTCATGATCACAGAGCGATTCACCAACCAGCATGGGCAATGGCATTGACACCGCTCGTCGCACTCATCGCCACAGGTAGAGTCATGGTAAGATCGACATCGTAGATGACCGTCCCAGGGAGAATCTTGGGGTCCGAGCGAGTCTTCTTCAGTCCGTCCGCCGTCTCGCCCAAGATAGGAGTCATCTCACTACCAGCATATGTAGTCGGGATGCAGATGTGAGGAAGGCCGGTCCGGATGCTGATCGCCTTGCCCAGGCCAATGGTACTTCCACCGCCGATGGACACGACCAAATCCGCTCCTTGGGCCCTCGCATACTCGACTGCCTTATCTGTGATATGGGTAGGGGTGTGCATCGTAGCTTCGGAAAAGATGCCAGCTACTTGGCCCTTGAGAACCGACTTGACGGCCTCGGCGTGCCCGACCTGCTGCGGTGTCGACAGGACCAGCGGGGCCTTTAGGCTGAGCCGCGCAATTTCATCGGGGAGCTTTTGAATAGTACCGCTGCCGAAGATGACACGGCCCGGATTTGCATTGTACTCGAAGGCGTCCATCTTGAGAATGCGTATGGCCAGCTCGAGCTGCGATCAAAGTTATAGAACGACAATTGACTGATGCGGGACTTTCAAGTATCGGTAAAGAGTGAATCAATAAAACAAAAGAGGAAACCAGGGCAGCATGGCTATAAGTATAGGTTCGCTAGCCCATAGTTCTCCGGGATGAGGCTTGATCAGCCATGAATAATAATAAGTTAATAACCTCTTCTCCCCACACCCCACCAGCGGGGGAGTGCGAATCCCGTTCAACGTCATGGAGCGATTGGAGCGAAAGAAGCTCTTTGCCGTGGGTCTCTTTCCGGCCCTTTGAGTTTCGGCAGTTGACGAGTTGATGATCCCGATGATGTATATGAAGCGCTTTTGACAGGCATTTCTGTAGAATGCAGAATGAAGACAAAGGAAACGAGTGGAGTTGACTACATGCTAGGATTCTGATGTTGGATTCCTTGTCACTGACAATCACTCTGATAAGACAGCCGACCAGGTCGGGAATCCCCCGTCTCCAATCTGCCCCATAGAACACCATCCAAGGGACAGTATGCTTCTACTCCTATTGGAGGTTGGAGCAGAAGTGGATGTAGAGGTCTCCTAGCATAGATAAAGTATGTGTCTTCGTTTCTGTTGAACACAGGGGGTATTAGGTATGATTGATAATATACTATGATACCTTGATATAGTTACATGTTTCGTCGAAGTTGCACCAACCACGTAATTGCAGCTTTCTTTCGCATAAACACCGATATATGCATGCTACACTTCACTTTTGATTTTTCAAAACCGTTTGGGGTATCCGGAAATCAAGCCAAGCCGAGTCAAATCAATCAATGTCGGCAAATCCCATAATGTCTTGGCCTCCCTTGCCTTTGTTCTTCTTGCGCTTTCGCTGAGGCGGAGCAGCCTTGCGACTCTCACGATCGCTATCCGAGTCGTCACCATCGTCGCTGTCGTCACTATCACTGCCAAACATGCGCTTCCCGCCAGCCATGTCCCCGTCGATTCCATCTGAGTCGACGGCCTCGTGCCAGACCTTGACAACCTGACCACCACCACTGACCATGCGTCCTTCAACGTCGAATCCCAAACCGATGACGCCTTCGGTCTCGTCATGCATGACTTCCGAAACGACCTTGTTCATACCCATCCGGACGAATTTCACTCCACCACTTCCCAGGCCGACGGCAATCAACTTGCCCTTTCCGAGCTCGTCAGGAACAACCGCCAGGGTCTCCAGCGACTCTCCGCCTCCGGCTTCCCGCTCAACGTAGATACGCTCGTCTTGGTCATCCCAAGCGCCTTTCTCCCAGAGTGTCAAGACGCCGCTGGAACCTCCCACAATCACCTTTTCACCCCGGCTCGTCCCACCCGCGCGTAAACCGCCGATGTAAACGGAGCTTACCAATTCCTCTTCCTGGTCTTCGCTACGCACTAGGACACCGCGGCGGAGGTCTGTAACGGCTAATGTAGTGCCGCCGGTGGTCACCCATTGCTTGCTGAAGCCCGAGGTGCTGGTATCCGACGGAGGGAGCAGTGTAAGAGACGAAATGTAGTCGTCGTGGGGATGATGCGTCTGCTGTGGCCGAGCAGACACTGGTGAGAAGGGAATTCGAAGGTCGTAGAGATGGAGTGCGCTGGAGTCGGTAGCGAGGAGGAGAGTCTGAGGGGAGAGCGCATGAACGATTGTCGGAGCATCGACCGATCTGCCATAACAGTCACCTTTAGTTGACCCACCCACAGAGAAGTAGCGTAATTTGCGACGCAAAAATCAATCGACTCACCCATCCTTCGCGGGAGGAATCGCAATTTTGTTTTCCACCACGCCGGTCTCCGCCTTTGCGGCCTTGACCAACCCATCCGTCCCCGCAGAGTACAGCATCTCCCCGTCCGCCCCGAACCCTAGACACCGACAGCTCCCCTTGTGTCGGCGGGTCCTCCACATCGTATCGATGTGTCCCTTGCCATTGCGCGACGAGGAAGTCGACTCCGCCCCATCATCGTCGGTGTCGCTCTCCTCCGACGGAAGCCGAAAAGTTTGGACGTGGCCAGTAGACAGACCAACGGAGACAATTGGCTCCTTAGGATGGATGGCCTGCGAGAACAGGTCCGCTGAGAGCGGGAGGGTGCAGACCGTGTCAAACATGGCGTGGGGAGGAGGTAATTCAAGGTCTTTCTTTACTTCTCCTCGAAGGAGCTCTAGAATAGATGGACATTTAAAGTGGGTACGTTACGGGCCGATGAATCTTCCGCCAGTGGGTTCCATATACAGTATGCCAACTGGCCTACCTAGTCAACTATGCCCTAAACCCCGTCATTAAGCTAAGAGACATCTCTGAATTCTAGAAGTCCATTAACTAATTATGAGGAAGAATACCAGACTGCGACTGTGACACTCGCGCCCGTTTTCTGCGGTGCAAAGCTAAATCGACCAAGAAAAAGTGACTAAACGCGGCGACGTCGCTGTCGAAGTACTTGGGATGTGATCTTCGTAGGCTTCGTAGCCCTGGGAAGCCAAAGCACCAGTTATCATCAAGATCCGCGCCGAGAGTAGGTTCCAAATCAAATTTGCCCAGTGACCACAGCCAATCTTCGAATTGCACCCAAGTCGATAACGTGGAAGGTATGCCCCTATGGAAGAATACAACATCACAATCAATAAGGAGCTTCGAGATAGGTAGGGTGGACCACGGAGGCCTCAGTTTGGGATCAAGTTTGATCAAATTCCCAGCTCTATGCATGCTTGACCGCGTCTTCAAAATCCCGAAGTCATTTTCAGACGCAATGGAGACTGGGTATTCGGAAAGTGGATACACAACGCACAAGAACACAAAAGGATCATGCGCTGGGAAAATAATCTCCTTTTCGATGCCGGAATACAGATCTCCCAGTCGACACCAGTCGCTGCGAGGGTTGAGCGCGAGTTGCGAGGGGATAAGGTTTCGTGTATCCAGGTACAAGGATCCAACAATAGTGATCTTGTTGGAGGGTGGCTGCTTGAGGAGCATACGTCTCCAACTAGCTTCTCTTCGAAGATAAACCTCCCTCTTACGACGCACGTGTGCGCGTGAATGATCCTGGACCTTTTTGCGAAATAGACCACGCCAGAGGTTTGACTGAACGAACGGGTTTGTCCGTCTTTCCTCTGGGTCAACCCGCTTCTCGGAAGGCTTGAAGAAGAGAGCTTTCTGGAGAGCATTAGAGTCTTGGATAACCCTATGCCACATACGGCAGACCCTCTGAGCGGAAGTGAGCAAGGTGGGTAGATGAACCTGGAGGAGGATTTCCTCAAGAACTTCTGGGATACCAAAGATTCTGTGAGATGCTGAAGAATACATCCTGTTGGCAGTGAGAACAGGCTTGGTTGATTAGTGGTGGTGGAAGTTTTCCATCTGAGGGATGAACACAGCTGGCAGCATTAGACGTCATAAATACAGCTTGACTCTTGAGCCAGTCATCACAGCTTGGATAGAGCCCAGGATCGACGCAAATAATGGCTCATCCTGATGTAAAAGCAAGACATGCTCAGAGTCACATGAAGGATTAGTCAAAGTGCTCTCAACATCAGACAGTCCTTTGGTAATTGCTTGCCTCAAGCCACGGCATGTTCAGGTGCCCTGAGTAAGTCGATATATTTTTCTTAAGTTTATCGTGTTCGTGTCTTCAACCCTGTTTACCTAGATCACATTGTGCCTGTATCAGGATGGTTTCCGTTGCTTGCTACCAGTGAAGTTCTGCACTCACTCTCCCTACACAGTAGAGCTTCACTTCTTGCGTCGGAACAAAGATGGTTATGATTCTGACGATTCCCTTTTGTCACGGGTTGATGCACAGCTTCAAAGTCCAGAGATAGTTCCCCTGAGAAGGAGACTTGGACTGAGTAAAGGCAATGCAGATGTGATCAAATATATCTTCCTAAATTTACTTCAATACTACGAATACTAGGTGTCATCTGTGGTCGCTAGGAACGAGGACAATGATCTTGTAGAAAGGCAACAAATTGTTCAATCAACTTCATATGTACAGGAGAAGCCAACGTCGAGATCCTTGCAAAAGAAACAGTAAAGCACTTCACTTGGAAACAGAAACCAAAAGAGAAATTTCACGAAGAAAGTGACAGATAAGAAAACAGCAAGTGAAAGCCTGCCCTGAAGCTCAGCAGGGTTTATGTCAATCGTGCATCTGACTATACATAAGTCCGGGAGGAGACACTCCTCAAGGGAGCCTGCCCTCAACCATTGCGGCCACAATCAGTGTCTCCCACACGAGCTTAAATTTCCTCACAAATCGCTTAAGCACTGTAGGTCGAGCCAATGGAACCAAACTTGATGTTGGAGAAAGTCACAGAGGCATCAGGGTGCTGGGCCTCGACGGTTGCCGGGTCGCCGACGCCGTGCTCGCATGTACCACGGGCAACGCCAGGTTTCGAGGAATCAGCATCAGTGGGGTAAGTGCTGTCGAGCCACATCATGCTAGCGGCGTGGTCGTCCCAGATGCTCATGATGAGAACCATCTCAGACAGGGCTTTGCCCATGCCGCTGAGACCGCCGTGCTGGGCGAAAATATCCTGATCGCCAAAAGCCGTCTTCTGGGCCGTGCAGAAGTCCGAGGTGATCGAGTTGCCAGACACGCTGGCAACGTTGGAGACAGCGTTAGCAATCACCTTGCCGTTCTGGACGTAGATGCGCTTGATTTCGGAAAGAGCACCACTGTCAGTGCCGTCAGCAGTAATGAACTGAGTCACCACGGTCATCTTGGATTTCGTGTCAACGATCTTGCCAGGGCCATAGAAAGATTCATTGCCCATGCGGAAAGGGTTGAAGTCACAGCCGTCAGGATCACAAGTGCCTGCATAACGGGTAGAAGAGTAAGTGCCACCGCAGGCATCACCGCTGCAAATGGTCTGTGAGACATCATCACAGGGATGAGGAGTCAAGGCAGTGGAAATGCTGTTAGCCTCCCAGACATCCATCTCAGGGCAGCAGGATCCGTGGCCCCCAACGCCTGCGTTCTTGTCGTTGCTGGAGGGCGTCCAGCCTTCGACGTTGGCCTGTGTTATCGTCAGCCTCTATGTAATCGTCGATCAGATCTCCCATTGTGAGGGTTTATCTTACCGCGCCATTGATGAACTTGAGATCCCGAGGGCACTGGGAGTCACAGTATCCGGTCCCATACTTGGCACCGGCCTTGTTGGTAGGGTATTTAGACATGCCGCCGTCGGCATCCATAGCCACAAAGTACAGAGCACCGTTCAAACCGCAAGGGAGGTTCGACACATCGACATCGAAGGTGAACTCGCTGTTCAACAGGTTGAATTGCTGATACGTCTCATCATCCTTCATGAGGTACAAACGCGAGCCAATATTGGCACCGGTGACGAAGCTGAGTTTAAGCTCGGATCCAGAGGTAGTGACACCGTAAGTGCCCGCGTAATCGGCTCCATCTAAAGCACAGTTCTGAGCGCAGGATTCGTTGTCAGGGCAGAGCTCCGTGTTCCACTGTTGGCATTGTCAGCAAAATTGCGTCCTTGGATACGGCTGCCGGTGGAAATGCCTACCGTGTTGCCGGTATAGCAATTGGTGGTATCTTTGGTCGAATGAAGCCAGCGCCAGTTGGCATCAATCACAACAGAGCCGCTCTGCTGGGTGCAGCTGCCAGCAGCAGTACACTTCTGCCAGGTCAGAGCAGGGTGGGTTTCCGCTTTCTGTGTGCCGACCTGCTGAGCACTGGCGGCCACCGCAAGAGCAGAGAAAAGGAGCGCGCGTTGATGCATTTTGGTGCAGAAGAGAATGAATGAAGTTTTTGTTATCTGACCAGCAGAGATGATTGACCAAATTGAGGACGGCTTGTTAGCCTATATATACTTTTTCTTCAAGTGAGATTGACCTTCCTTTTCACCCCGGAGCTAGCCTAAGGAGAGTGCATCTCAATCTCAACATATCCGGTGCAACGGTCCGTCAGTCCGTCTCATTCGCCTGTTTCAAGGTAGGAGAGCGATATTCTTCCAAGATTGTAGGGGGCTAACCATGCAGGCAATGAATGTCACAAGGGCAGCAAGTTATGTCTGGAAGTGGACCCTGAGCTCGCATGGACTTACAAAGGCTCCGCACACTAAGTCGTTAGAGTAACAGAAGCTCGAAAGTTCCGTGTCCATCACAGAGCCACGATTCACTTTTTGCGTTTCATCTGTGCAGTAGCGGAGAAAGCTCCGAGCTACTTTTGCTAGGTGCAATATCACTGCTACCCTGGGCCATAGCCAGTTTCTGCATGTTCACAACAACCCCTACGACAAGGGACACCAGGAAGATGACGGTCAAGAGGATCACATGCGGATACGCAACCATTTTCAGCTTATAAGCCCATATTGTCTGATAAGGTAATGGTATGTCGGCGGATCTACATCTGAGGGAGACGGTCGAAGCGACTTGCCCTTGGGGTATGCTCTCAAAGATGGTAAGGGATCGTTTTCATGCACAGTCTTTCCGCACTAGGAACTAAGTCCACCAGCAGCTGAGTGAAAGATTAGAGCTGCAAGGGTAGAACCAAATCAAGCCCTGAGCGGGGAGTTCGTGATGCCTATCAAGCGAGGATGTCAATCCCTGGAGCCTGTCTGGTATAGTATCATTCAACTCGAAACCACGACTCAATTCGGCAGACGTCGCCTTGTCTAAAAGGGATAAGTCGACATCCCAGCGTGTACTGAGACGTGGAAAATGAGCTTTCTCAACGTGAAGGATTGCAAGGAAGTACTCCGTTTTGCCGTTTAGGCACGGCGGGCAAACCAAATTTTTCCGGTTGTCTTGGGGTGAGAATTTGGATTGGTAGAGACACATACTTTCACGGAGGCTGATTTCTGAAACGGCTCCCAGTAACTTGATTTGAAGATTCAGATGCTGCGACGTCGAAATTAAGCGCTAGGAGAGATGACGCGGTGGCAGGATCTGGCAGCTGTGGCGTTATTGGGCGTCAGCTTCATTTCAAGCCATCAGTGACCTGATATGAAGGATTGATTAATTATCGAGGGGGTCCTGAAGCCATGTCGATCACCGGAATGCGGGGATAGAATCCCATCAATAGCAAATCGCCTTGACGATAGTGCCGGCGCATTCGGTTTCGGATGTTCGCTTCAGATGGCGCCGGGTGTGTCTTCAGGCAGAATTCTGCATCAACTGCCAAAGAGAAGCCCATCTATCTACTTGCCTAGAGAAATTGTCAAGGATATAAAATACCTGTCTTAGCACACAGACCAAATGAAGAAAAGTCACGGTCGATCGCTGTTACCTCGGACGTCCGGGAATACGACTGCGAGATTCACACAGCCTAAGGGCGGCTACTGAATGGGATTGACAGAGCGTCGAAAGCTGTTCTTTTAGTACAGCACGCAATTGCAGAAACTATTCGAGTCCACCTTATCGCTACAGGTAATGTACGGACATCCTGAGTCAGCGTTACCATACGCAACTCACAGAACCCTGATCAAACACTGTTGTGGTCATTGACAGAGATATAGCAATGCAAACATCAGAGGGGACAGTCAGACTGCCATCCGAAGAACTCATAGAACGAGGTGTGTACCTTGCAGATCCTTCTTCTTTGAGGGCGCAGCACGTGCAGTCTGCACATATGCGCAAGGGCTCCAGGACGAATCGCATTTAGCCAGGAACGTCTCTCGTCCTATGAATCGGCAGTCAAACCGCCGGGATTTCTCCGCAAAATATTGCTAGGAGGTTATGGGGTAAAAGCAAGAGCGGGAGCCAGCAGCTGGATCTCCGGAATTATCGCCTGAGCTGTCTGCAGGGTCGCTTTCGAATAGGGCGTTTCTCCTCCTGTCTTAACACCGCCGGATTTTAGACATTCAAGTTCAGTTCAAAGCTGACTCTACAGCTCGCTGGTGCCAAGTGATGGATTCTCGACTCCACACTGTTGACCGCATGACAGGATGAATAAGTCGGCGGCCCGTTGTGATCGTCGCCCGTGCTGTCTGTTTGTATGACATCTCTGCGTGGTTATGTCATTGGAAACTGCGCAAGTCTGACTTTTGATAACAAGTTAATCAGCCTATGGTGTTGCCTGCGTTCATGCGTGTCCAGTTCGAAGATATGGCAATCCATCCACTTGAAGGGTGCATATGCTCATTAGCATGGATCAATCGAAACTGTACGCTTCAAAATATCTGGTCAATTCTAGAAAGATTTGTCAAAGTCAGGTTTAGCAGATGAATTTTCAGTTTTTCTGGATAGATTCGAGTCTCGGCCATATAATAGTGCCTCGGATTGTTCGGCTCACTGCTATAACTTTCGAACAGAAAATTGGTGAACAGTATGAGCTTGAGATTTTT